ATGAAGAATAATGAATAAATTAATGATTATAAATTATAATCTACATGTTACCTAGCGAATCATTCTTTTAAAATTTCTTGTTTTTTCTACTGATTTTTACAAGCACGAATAGTAATGTAATTCATCGTAAAATCATATTGAATATGTTTTTCTGTTTACAGATCAAGGACTTACGATCGCAGTGAGCAAATTCACTCAAGATAACAAAATCGCAATCACGGTCGTAAATGAAGTTAAATCACGACCGTGATCGTGATTCGGTCATTGTTGTTGTCGGTTACATCTATTCTGAATTTATCTGTTACAAATATACAAATGTAAGGCAAGATATAAAAACGAATAAAACAAGAGCATGTAAAAAGTAACATTTATAAACATGTCCATTAACGATGCATTTAGAATAAATTGTCTTGTACTTAAGTGAAAACATATATACTTTTCCGTTTCATGTTTCATGACTGTCATATTTATCCCTTAACCTTAAACTGAAGCATCGAATATTTTTATTCCCGTCAAATCATATAGATACACGCAATATGAATGGAATAACACTTCATTTGTACTAATAATACCCAGAATTCATGCTTTATCGGTAACGTCGGATATTGACACTAAAATGGTAACAGGGTTACGTGGCCCTATGAACGTGGGACAGAAAAAAGCATTGGATGATAGGTCTATTCTATACCTAGTCGGTGCTATTATATACAATTATATATGTCTATGGTATTATCATTCTAGTATTATAGATATATTATAGATAGATTATAGAAAATCTCTTATGAAAGATAATTATAAAAAAAAGACAATATAAAAATATCAGTATGGACAACATTTACAATAGTCTACGAGGAAAGAACTAGAATTTATGATTACACGTGGAAATTGAATATTACCAAAAGTGCATTCGTATGCCCGTGGTGGGATTGACAACTATTTAAAGCATAGTATTCTATGATCTCTTATCATCTCATATCCACTTATATCTTCAACCATCTTCAACAAAAGTTTTGTTTATCTGATGCACTGTTCGAATATTTTATTAAAATAAAATGACATCAATGAAGATATTGGTATTGTTGCGAATTGGTCGCAATACAAGTTAGTAATAAAGTCTTATTGAACAGATTATTCTTTATCATATTTAACAATAACCTATACACATAGAGACATGAGCTATCAACGAAGTACCGCATTTGATATAATTATATAAATATTGAAACAGTCACAGAAACTTTATATACTAAGTGACAGTAGTCAAATACACGTTTTAATTTTGCAGATGTAACTACTACAATCAGTGGTTTCCATACATCCTCTGTAACACATTTAAATCAGGATTGGAGGGCCAAGTATGTAACTCTATTGAAACTACAATTTTAATGAAAAATTAATTATCATGAAACAATTACAGGAAGAAACTACACTCTAATCCATATACTTGTGGTCCCCTGGTTAATTTACCAGATTACTCGTTCAAAGATAATAATAAACCTGTTCCATATGGCATTAATCAGTTAAAGCGTATAAGGCAGCACCAAGAATATGCAGTACATATTTTAATTAATCTTTACTTTGTGATGGGTAAGCAATAAGAATATTAACAAATTATTTTATTTACAGAAAAGAGTTGTACACCTAGCTGGTGAAATTGATGGTGCTCTTGAAAGGTATAATAGATTGCAAAATGAAAAAGAAAGAAGAAAACAGCAGATTATAGATAACAAATTAAAACCAAAAGGACAATTATTAATAACAGACAAATAATATTTCTAATTTATTTTATGTATCTACAAATTAAATATAAGTGATTAAATTCACTGTGTAATGATATTTAACAATGTATTTTTCCTTCAAAATTTAATGCTACTTTGGTATTAAAATGCAGTAATTTGAAGTGAGAAGAAATATCAACTATTTATATTTAGTGGTTTATTTGAGCTGATAATCAATAGGATACTTTATAAGACGTGGGAAATTTTCTCTTTCCTCTAGTGGAATATGATCTAATTTGACTGGTGCAGGTCTCATCTGTTTGATTTGGTTTGTGGCATTTTCCAGCATATCTTTAGGTATATTTGCATTTGGAAAAATGTGTAATCTTTGCATAGTATATCTTCGTTGCAAATTTCCATCCATTGAGCTATAAACTGCTTTCCTCATAATCTATACACATAAAGGAAGTTTTAGAAATTTCCAAAAAATGTATTAGTCTGCATTACTTCTAATATGTAAAGGTACTTAAAAATTGTGTACCATTGTTGGATCTCTATTGTGCAATTCCCATGCAAGTGTCCAGGTTGCACCTCCATGATATCCAGTATGATGAAAATATACGCGTTTTTGCCATTCATCTCCACGCAAGGCAATATCTTTGCTGTTTATTACTATTACATGATCACCACAATCATCTATGTAAAAATAAGTAAATGAAAGTACAATCATTGATACTTTAAAGTAAAATGTTTCTCACTATATGATTAAAAGAAATTTTTATAGACACAACTACAGAAACTGAAATTATAAAATGATTCATTATTAAGGCTACTAATATTACTCACTCATGGGGTGATATATAGGTTTATATAGTCCCATAAGATACTTTTTAATTTGTGGGGCACTTTGAAATGGATCTTGCCAAGCAGCATCATAAATATGCCAAATACGTGCAAAAGAACCCCATTGCTAAAATTAAAATGATTTGTAAGATAAATTATGCATAGAAGAATTTTCTAACTAATTTAAATAAATTAAAATAGTAAATTATCGTGATAAACTTCATGAATAAATGAAGAATAGGTTTAAGTATGTCTTCCATTTAGATTGAAATAGTAATATATTTATCCATATAATCTGAACAACACGAAATTAATAACAGCATCATTTACAGAGTTTAGGAACAGTAACACATGATGTAAAATACATTAAAGAGTCAAACCTGGCTTTTCCGAAGGAGAGACATAATCAATTATGTTAAAAACTAACTTCAATAGGAGATAACAATGTAAAAGATGATTTAGATCGAATTGCTCATTGCATTCAATTGTTAAGGTTAGATTCTGAAGTTCTATATAAAAGTTTGTAACAAGCGAGTCTAGTTTTCTTCAAGTTGGTTAGCTTGGCAAGATCACATTATAGTATAGATTCTATAGAAATACACATAGAGTATGAAATATATATAGTTAGAAGCTGATAAGTTGCTAAGCCCCAATAAGCCGAACGGCCAGGGGAACAGGAGAAGGGGTGGTATCTCGCCGGCCAATGGTTAGCATTGTAAGGCTACGTCTTACTACAATTCGTCATTAGACATGCTACTGTGTTATTGCTCTATCTCACTTGATCTCGTGTGTCCATTCGCTTTTTTAGTCACCAGCGAATTTGAGTCATCGATAACTTTGAGCTCTTAACCATTCATATTTCAAATTGTAAATAAATTACATATTTAAAAAATCATTTATCGCAATACAAATAAAATAAAATAACAATTAAAATACAATATTTTACAAAAAAATGTAGTATAATCAAAACACTGATTAAAATGTTATTTGGAATTGAATTTCTGTTTGATCATGATTTCAAAAGTATCGATTTGTTTGTAGAGTTCCCTAATAAATTATTTAATCAACTTACTGTCTTTTTATCAGAGAAGGGTGGTCCTTTGAGTTTATTTAATTGTCGGCACAGAAAGTGCGAATACGTATATCGAAACCGTCAATCTTCAGATCAACAACAGATTGGAACAATATGTATATGTATAAGGTACTTAATAATTTGAAATATTTTTATTCAAAATATATAAGTCAATTTTTATATACTGATAAAGAAACACTTTTTTATGGTAAATAAAATATTTACAAATATTTTACTTGTGTCTTAATGTTTTTACTTTCAATTGTAATAATATTATACCTGTGGATGGATATTTGTAAACTGTAAAGATAAATGCTGTATAAATTAATTAAATATGTTAAGATCATGGGGTGTTTGTACACTTGCAGATTACTAATATAATAATGCATTATCAAAAATTAGCCAGTTTCTAGGATAGTTAAGTGCACTAGGATCTATTTATATGCAGGTGTAATTTCAAAGATTAAAAAAAAATTACAGAGTAATTTACAATTTAATAAGTATTTTAATGCAATATAATAATAATTATAATAATAATTAATAATATCAACTAATAATGTTATTAAATATTTTTACATGTACATAGTAATGTATTTATAATAATTCGTATTTTATTATTAGGGAATTATTAATGTTTAAAAATAGCAAAGATTTTATGTAAACAGGTAAGTCTTTTTTGCACGATCAGTCCTTTGTTACAGAGTGTAGTACATTTCTTTATTCCAACTGTGTTCTTTAAGCGAATATTTAACAAAACAGTGTTGGCATTAATTAAACAGTTATATAATGTACCTTACAGTATTTTGTTTGTATGCACGATTGTAAATATTTGTTTTCTTACAAACATTATTTCTGAAGATTATTTCGTATTGGCTATTGGTTTTCTTATCTATGAATATCGATAATTTTTAAGTTACCAGTTATGTTCAGGATTCCATAAGCAATATATATATATAAATTTTCGATTTTGTTACTTTTGCTTCTATTTATATATTCCATTACATTCGACAAAGGAACTTCATTGTTCATTTAGGCAAATATAGCACCAAGAGGCAAATATTATTATTTAAAGCAAATGCCGTTAATGCTTTTTCATTTTGGTATTCGCGTTGAAATTTAATGTACCAGCGGAAACAATTAGAATTAAAAAGATCGAACGAAGCAAGGATTGTATAAAAATATATTAAACAGAATAATAGAAATATCTAATACACTGTATTAATGTATTACATAATAGTGCAGTGCATTAATATGGTTACATACATTTACCATAATATAAGTCTCCCATTATTGAAAGGTCCTTATTTGTTCTTTAAGAATCAATTGATAGCTTTTATAGTCACCAAATTCTTGATAAATTAATCTATATCAGTGACGTATAGAAAATATAATTATTCTAAATATAGAGGTTCAAATATTTGTTCTTTTTTTTTTGTTAATCTTGACGGTATTCCACTAATTTCAGTAATTTTGTATCTGTAATTCTTGTGTGAATATTAACATTAACATGAACATTTAGCAATAATATTTGAAGACAACTAATTAAATAATAATATTATTACTAATATTAATGAATAATTTAAATAATATAGATTATTAGAAATTCGTTCTAATTTGTAAATATCTGTTTCTTGCCTTCCTACTCTGTATCAGATTTTGATATATAAAAGATCACTGCTAGAATGTGCATTCTTTTCGTCATTCCAAGCAATTTAGAAACCAATCGACATTTGCCGCCTCTGGATTTAATATCCTGAACATTTGATCACCGGATACAATGAACGTGTGTAAGATAATTGCATTACGTAATAATACTGCTTTGAAAATCGTAACTTTGCAGTGTTCATGCGCAAAGCATAGATGTCTTTACAAATTAAACGGTAAAGCTTAAATGTTTATAGCCTTAATGCACAATGTGCTTTGCGTTTCTTTCTTTCTTTTTTTTCTACATTTGCTAAGTGTCGATGCGCGATTTTCAATCGTGTTCCTCTGTATAAATGCAATAATATGTATGTTTCACGATTATTGAACCGTAACAGTAGTAACAACACAGTTGGTTTCGATTATACGATGTACCCATAGGAAATTATAAAACGCACGTTTCTTCTTAGGTAAATAACTGAACTCGTTCCACACGCGTACATCATATTTCACATAAATGTTTTTGTATAAAATGCGCTAACAATGAAATGTTTCAAAGTAACTTCTAGCGTGTTGACCACAATTTCCTAAAAGCATTTCACGGGGAAAATTTCGGGTGTACAAATTACTGTTACATATAAAATAACATAGTATAGAAATCGATGTCTTTCGAGAGACAGTGTAACAACTCTATACAACAGTTAGGTATCGTTAGAACAATATAGCATTATCAATTCCAGAATGATGGATTGAGAGATTGGGGTCCCTCCTTAGAGGGTAGGTTGGTGGTCAATGGTAAATTGTTAATTTAGGAGTATAGTCTTCAGTGGTCTCGGTAATCTATCGAGGATTCCTCGCAACCCTCTAAAACAAAGAGAGAGAGAGAGAGAGAGAGAGAGAGAGAGAGATATCCCGCTTATCAATTCGGTACATCTGCATCGCTATACTATTCTTCGTGTAAAATTTATGTATAATTTTTTAGTCATCGACGTGGCATGACGCGTAACACGCTACGTCATGTGAATCCAGTTACATAAAATCTTTGGCAAAGGCATGATTAATCATTGACCCATGATTCTGTAAATATGTATATAATATTATTGTATTCCATAAACAGCTACTCGCCATTTGTCATTGTTTTTTTTTCTTTTTTACATAATTTTGATTTCTTCCAGTATGAGCGTTTGGATACGATCCTGCTCGTGAAATGCACCAGGTCGACATTATTCAATATACGTAGACGTCCTATCAACCGACACTATCTCCCATTACTACAGTTTCGGTGTAGTGTTCCGTGGGTTCCAATTCTTCGTTCGTTTCCGATTCACCGTGTGCATCTACAAATTCCTGTCAACGAAGGTACAAAAAACAAAGAATAGAAGAATAAAGTTTGTGTTAAGCGTTAAAATTCGCAATTGAATTCTAACGAATTTCATAGCCTCAAATACAATGTATCATGATAATTTCAATTAGAACATATGCATTAAACCGATAGAAAATTTAAACTGAGCTTCTTACATCTCGAGTGGGATCGTCAATACTGCTCTCTTTGTTTAAAATGTCATCTGTAATAGACGGAAAAAATATGCCACATTACTATTTTTATTTATCCGAACATGCATGAAGCACGCAATGAATATCAGCCTACACCGTTCCTGACATATTAAAAAAAGAAGGAACTAACCGTGTTCCGTTTGCGTTTGGCTCGATGCAGTGCAGGTTTCGGAGAATTCACGACGTTGTATATCCGCATCAAAAGCATGAAGACGTTCTCTGCTTCTACGTAACTCCTTTCTCAGCCTTTCCCGTTCCTCTTCTCTCTCTTTTATAATTTCCTGTAGTGCACAAATAAAATTAGAACCTGACTGAATTTCCAGTGTCTTTAGTGGCTGCATTCAATTACAGATTTTCGTTAAATCGAATTCTTTATATTTAAAATTTAAGTAGACCATCTTCCTTCTTAGCTAGTTTGTTTTTCCAAAGAATTCTCACCAGTAATTGTGACAATTGAGATGTCAGAGAGTGACACACTGGCTGTAAACTCGCGACTGATATAGTCGGTTGTTGCGGATGAAGATGCATTCTCGGAGATGGACATCCGGTTGCTTCGCAACTTGGTGGCGTTGTTAACACTGACGCTCCGCGCGAGGCAAGAACCGTTTCCGTTTCGCTTACGTTTAACGCCGAATTTAGCATTCCCACTAATTGATTCGCTGAAAATAGACGCACGAATTAATTCTAATAAAAAAAGGTACGTATGAAAAAACGGTTGCATTTTATTTTATTCAACATGCAACATTTCAAGGTTAAATAATGTACCTTGACTAATGGCAGCGAGTATGAGTTCAGCGGGTTCTTTTTCTATGCTCGATGGTTCAGACGCCATGTCTGCCACGTGTTCGAAATCCTCTTTTGGAATATTCAAGATATCAGCTACCAACAATTGTTTCTCTGCCAAAGCTTGCTTAATTATCTCGTCCTTCCTCCTTAGACACTCTGCGAATGAATACAGAACCGAGCTGAATGAATTACAAGCTCTACTTGAAAATATGTATCCAGTTAATAAATAAATGTACCTATGGGTGTAAGTACCGGTTCTGCGACATGTACCGGTGGTACTTCCACATGAACCTCTAGTGGATCGATTAGCGATACTTGTGTACAGGTCACCATTCGTAGCGGTTCTCCCATACCTGAACAAGATGTATGTATATTTTATAAGAAAATACACACTATCCAACTTATTTGATACCCTGCTTAACGTGATTAATATATTTCTTGTCTTTAATATGAAATTCAGAGTTTGCTGCGTGATTTGGTCAAATAAATATGACAATCTTCCATGGACAAAGTGAGTCCACTGTATCTTACCATAAAGATTATGAATAGACTGCGGATATTTATGCACAATCCCATTGTTGTATTCACTTTCCAGGAACCAGAACCGAAGAGAAATTGATTTCCTCTCTTAACAGGTTTATTAAATTAAAAATAATATAATGACTTTATTAGTTCTTCTTAAATTTTTCATTTCACTGTACTCATATTGAATCTTCAACTTTGTTATAAATGCATACAAACATCCGCAGTCTAATTATAAACTATATCCTGAAATATCGAGCAGTATTGCTAGTCTAACAAAGAACCATAAAAAGCATTGAAACCTGTGCCAGAAGATTCAGATGAATGTTGTTGTTTTTGTTGTTGTTGTTGTTGTTGTTGCTGCTGCTGCGGCGGCGGCGGCGGTTGCTGTTGTTGTTTCGGTTGCTCAGGCGTTGAAGGATCAACAGGTACAGCCGTAGCAGCTGGTACAGGGGCGTTAGGCTGTGTCTCCGCTTCCTGTTCGATATTGCTAGTGTCCTGCGTGGAATCTTTCGGTTCTGCTTCCTGCTGCTCTCGCTCCTGATCAGTTTTCTCTGGTATGATATTGTCCTGTTCCGTCGTGGACGGATGATCATCTATCGCCGGTCCAGGTTCTTCTGGCAGTGTGGTGGGCGGCGTGGGTCTTCTGCCTTGTTTGTCACGAGCCTTGTACGCTTCGGCCGCCTCCGATATATGCTTACACCAGAGTTTCCGTTCAGACCAGATAGAGGGAGTTCTTGTCGACGGCATTGTGCCTGACAAGAACCGTGGAGACTTTCACGATTGGGCTGAGCACCGAGTTCGCTTGATTGGTGTTGATGAACTTCAACAGATACTTCTCGTCCTGCCGATGCAACAGGAATATCGTGTCGTCTAGCAACACCACGTGCAGATCGACCGGTTTCGCGCGGTTCTGTTCGGTTCTGCGCCATTGCAATGGGCCCTCGTAGATCAGCTTCCGTTTCGTGATGTCTAGATTCTTGAACTCCTGCACGGTCGGATGGTCGAACTTGTCGAACGCGGAACGATCGATGGTACGTTGAATCTCGGCAAGCCTCTGGTAATCCTCCGCCTCGCGGACCGCTTGGTTCACACGGCTGAGAATCTCTTTGCTGCGATCGAGACTTCGCAGGACACCGGCCCTCTCCTTATCGCTGCTGTCGGGCGTGTACTTGGCCAGATTCTCGAAGAGCAACGGGTATTTCGTTAGACGTAGCATACCGGTCAAAATGTGATCCTTCAGCTGTAACCTGCGGCACAACGGGTTCGCCTCGATCTCGTTCAGGAACGAGTTCAATTTCGGATCCTTACGACGACGATCCCGCAACGCGTCCAAAGCGACCTGCTGCCTCGCGCAGTATATCGATGCCGCCCTCTCGAACCCCTCGCCGTTCTCGCCGTCGAACATGTCCAACAGCAACTCGCCCACGTCGCCCACGCACGGGTTCTCCTTTTTCTTTCGTTTCATCGACTGATTGAAACGCGAGTGAATCGTCACCATCTCGTCCAGATTCGAGAACAACAATTGTATTTGGTCTAACGGGAGCACTTGGGATTCCAGGAGCGGCTTATGGAAGACGTGCGACAGGACTCTCAACGCGCGCACGTGAGATCGCTCGGTGTGGAACAGTTCTGGAATCGAAGAGTGAAATTACAAAATATTAATCATTCTTCCCTGATGACGTGGTTTTACGGTATCACTAATCGTAACTACAGTGGATTTCGGTTATTTAGGCAGATTGGGATTAGCATCCTTTTGGCCTAATTATGAAGATGTCCCAATTATACGAAGTATCACAGTAACATTCGATTAGGTTTTGTTCGTTGAGCTTTGTCCCAAATAAACGAGTGTCTCGTTTAATTGGTGGTCCAAGTAAGCGTAATCCACTGTACATTTATACGTAGCTTCTGTTTGGATATACTTTAAGAGGGAAAGATCGGGTGTCTTTCGTATTTCAAACGACTCTATTTTGACCAATCAGGTCACCCAACACTTAGCTACCTTGCTTCACAATATCAAGAAACTTTCGGGAAATTCTAACTTTCCCGATTCCCTAACCCTTTCCAAAAGTTTCACAAGTCTGAACGTTCCGTGAACAACAAGATATTATCTTGCTAAGTCCTGGTGGGATCCCAAAGTCCCATACATTCTAACAAATTTTTATTAACATTCTACCCATAAGGTAGAGATTTGGCGCGCAAGTGGCTCTCGTAGGGGAATACCCCTAACGCTAACTAGCAGATTGGAATAAAACTTTGTGGATTTATAGAGTGATTCAAGACAAGCACAATGGTATGTTTCATTCGTGCTCAATCGTCCTTGAAGGGTGTAAAAACTAACCTTAAAGTCAAATAGGCACTCCCACTTTTTCGCGTATAACTCTTAAAGTACAGGAGATAGAGAAAAATGTTCCAAACAGAACTTTAATAGCACAATCAGAACTATAAACCTGCATTAACAAAAGTTTGAAAAATGTTTTTTTTTTTTTCTTAAGAAGAAAATTTTAAAACAAGTTCTTCAGAATTTTATTAACACAAGTTTATAGCGCACACTACTGCCGCCGCCGCGTGTTTTGCTGAACTCTTTCGCTTCTCTATTGAAAATAACACCGATTTTGTAACTTTCCTTGCAAACCTTCCTCGGTAGAAAGGTCTGCTCTATCGCGTGCTAGGATTAGATTTTCTCCTAGACCCTTAAATAATTGGTGCGTTTTCAGGGTCCTTTTCACTTTGAACATTATTTCAACATATTTAGATATCTATAATATAATAACAATTTATATCATTTCGTTCGGAATAGTTCCGAGAATTATTTCGCGTTGAAAGAAACCGACGAACTATTACTATAAAAACAGAACACAGCTGCAAAGTTAAAAATTTGTAATTTTTGTAAAAATTTATTTTTTTATTCAAAAACTGGACGCGCTGGAAAGAAACGGTTTGCAGATTCGTATTAAGCTCGCAAAAATCTATCGGAAACGCTTATTAAACATTTTTACGCGTTGAACAGACTCCTCTCGATTATCGTCCTGCTTGTTCGACACGATTATTGTCCAGGTGTTATCCCCACCACTGGAGGGGGGGAGGTCGTGGAACCTGTCAAGCATATACTTTGTTGCCAAGGCACGGGACTTCGAGCAAAAAACGAATTTACGAAGGTCTGAATCATTTCTCCCTATATGATTATATGATCTCCTTATATGATCTCCTATTGTCCCGGCGCGGACCCGTGTTCGGGACGATAATCAAGAGGAGTCTGTATTGATAAATTTCTGTTCCTCAAAAATGAAAAGTATCAACAAAATCAAAAAACCAGTACTACACCAACCGTTGATGACCTCCTGTCGCTTTTTCTCGGCGTTGCTGAGTCTGGCGAGTACATCCTCGGTGACACCCTGGCTCCAGTCCGGCGGATCCGGCTCGACGTCGACATCGCTGTCCCACGAGGTCGATGTGTTCGTCGCGGACGTGGCCGGGTGTACCTGCTCCAGGCTGGTGCTCGGGCTGTCCAGGCTTCTCGTCGACAGGCTGCTGTTCGACGAACTGCCCGCCGAGTTGCCGGGAAACGACCCGGAATGGTCGCAGTCACTGAAACCAGCCCTACAGTTCAATTGTTAGCGAAATCATGGATTCCCCACGCCTTTGAACTAGCAAACCCGCGGCCCAGTTCAAGCCCCACGCACGAAAACCATTGCCAATTTTGTTTCTTTGACACGGTCAACCCTTTCGCTGTTTTTCCCGTATGTCATACCGGCTACACGGAAATACAAGGTCAGTAAGAACTTCTAGGGCGGACGTCCCAATTATTGTCACCTTAACCCTTGTGTAGCCAAACAAAAAATAGTTTAACGCATTAAGCATAAAGAATGAATAATTGTCACCTTAAAAATTAAACTAATTCTTATGTACTGTAACAGTTCATTCTGTACAATAGATACAGCTTAAAGAGGAAAATTGCATCTCCTTCTTTATTGCGATTTCTGTAAAAATAATGTAGTATTGGGTATTAACATAACACGACTCACTTGCGTGGACCATCATGTATATCGCGGTAAAATATCTTTCTAAATTATTGAACCGAGCTGCGTTATCACTCCGTTCGCGTTTATCTTGGCGAAGGCAGTCTGTTTATATTGCAACACTAGATTGTATCAAAAAGTTTACATCTCTTATCAGTTATTTAATGGAAACGCTTTAATTAATTTCGACATCGTCGACCCACGACCCTCGCACTAGCGACACTGACAAGCCTAGTAACGGTCACTAGCCCCCCCGCCCATTAGTATTCACAAAACAATCAGAATTTGGTTGACAAGGGATGTCCGCAAAGTGGTGCACACCGATTCTTTTGTAACATTGCCCAATCCTTTATGGGATCAACCTACGAATTTTGCCGTACTTGGCTGGTGCTACTCTTGGACTCTAAAGGTGTGTATGCACTTGTTACGCATCACTGCATGTGAAAATGTATCGTATGGTGACCACGACACGATGATACGCAACAAATGGATACGCACCTTTAAAAATAAACCTAAACGACAAATCCGACGGCCGGGTGGGAACTATAATTTCCATTGAAATATGAGCTAAAAAAAATCATTTTCTATTATTAAATGTCGTTTAGAATACTTATAATGACATATTGACTCTAAAAACATAAAAAAAAAAAACAAATTTATTTCCCCATGAGTTCGGAAAAACGATTACGGCCCGTCCCGAATGTGTTAACTTTGCCAAGAAGCAACTCAGCTAAAATCTTGAAAAACCATCTTAAAGCAGAGATTCCACACTTTCAAACGATTATTTCAACGATACCCCGATACGACTATTTTCGCCGCAGTTACGATGATCATTTGACCTTGGCCCCATTCTTCGGGATCGTAAAGAGGTGAGATGATGATCCCTTAATTTTTTTTTTTTTTTGCGTAGTATATACCTCTCGGATCTCGTGCGTCGTTCATTAACACCGTGGCCCTCGTGACTGGCAACGTCGTCGTCGTCGTCGTCGGCGGCCAGCACTTCCGGGAGCCGTTCCTCAACGTTCGAGCACCCCGCCGACGGCGAGATATCGTTCGACTGATCGAGGACAGAGGACGGCGGTGGTTCCGTGCACGATATCGGACTAGTCAAGTTTTCGTTGCCGCGCGAATTGGGTCGAGGACGTCGTCGTGAGCCATGTTGTCTCATACTCTTATATCTCCTTAGCCCTAAAGGGCTTCCGCGACGGAACAAAGCCGACAGGCATTAGCCTGCCCCGACCGTTACACAGCGTTACACGCGACGGTGTGTTACTACGTGTTGGGCTACGCGGGCTGAGCACGTCCGAAGGGAGGATTTTCAGCTGGAACGAATACCCTGGAAGCGACCCCGAGTTGTTACGCCGTGACCGTCCGAACTGATCTTTATTCGTTTCGAAGCCAGAGAGCCTGTCCCCTTACATAGTTATTACACCGTTAAGGATCCTTTCCCCTTTAGTGGCCGCACAAAAATGGCGACACTTGGAACGTTTTTTTTTTTTTTTTTTTTATTATTTTAAAGGAAGGCAAAGACGACATGGTGCAAAGCTTCCTGTACTTTATTCATTATACATTCAGGTAAATAAAAAAAACATTTGATTCAATATTTTTGCATTGTAGGTGGCGGCCAATCGTGTTGATCCGAAATTGTATTGTATACAAACGGTGCCCATTGTAATGTAAAAAGTTATTAACCTGGTTTGAAAAATTCTTGTGGCATTCTTTTTGGAATTTAGTCAAGTATCGTGCAACCTGTTATTGAACATTCTGAAGCATAAATTCTTTTGTTATTCACGATAATATACGTAAAATTTCTTTCTTTCTCTGTGACTCACAACATGTAGTCTTCGTTGAAACTCATACTAAATGCGGCCATTTTATTTTTTTAACTAAATGATACAGACTCCTCTCGATTATCGCTTGGCTTGTTCTACACGATTATTGTCCAGGTGTTATCCCCACCCAAAATGTATATTAATAAACCCCAGACTGATTGTTTACTCCAAGTGTTATAGTTTTCTTGTACAAAAATCTTAAAGAAAGACCGTACCCTTAATATGGAGTTTACGTGGAGTGAGATATACCTGGGTATATCCAAAAGTTCGCGGAACGTTTTCATAAAAATTTTAAATAAAGTCACGTTTATTTTGAACGGCGTTTGTGTCTGAAACATTCGATCTACACTCGTGAACTTTTGAATTTCGCCTGTACTTCTAATCCGTAGAAAAATATCTCGAAATCGTCGATTCAAAATGGACTATAATCGAGGTACGGATTTCTTGTGGAGACAGAAACTCCTGAAACCAGTGAAAATGAATAACATTGTATCTGCTTAAAGGTTAAGCGTTCTTTTCATGTGAAAAGCTGGCTAGTCGTGCATTGACATTTCCGCTGGCTTGTCACAGTTATTACGCCGTCACTCGCACCCCCCTCCCTTGAAAAACATCTAACGGGGCCACGCAAAAGGGCGGGGGAAAACCATAAGAGGAGAGTTCTAGCTTCGTAAATTCTGTATGAAACCGTTCGATTTCTGTCTATACCTGCTATAATTGCGGAACATGTGAAATTTATTCACGTTTTCTTTTTGTAATGTAACGAAAAATTAAATTTAATACAATCGGAGCAGTCTATAAAAGATACAGACTCTTCTCGATTATCGTCTGGTTTGTTCAACATGATTATTGTCCAGGTGTTATCCCCACCACTGATGTACAGTATCGGAACGAGAAAGACCTTTCTCTTTCCATTCTTTGCGATCTAGTTTTGCGTGTTCTCGACGAAAATTTTTGTTCAGGATTTCTGTGGTTTTTTTTTCTTTCATTTATCCAGAATAATCGAACGGCGGCTGGCAAGGTGCACCGACTATAAACGAGAACTTAATCGACGTCGATCAAGCTTAAGCCTTGTCGAAGCCGCTCCTTCATCACTTTAATCAATCCCCTCTCCGCACCCCCTCCCCCTCCCCTTCGTAGTGGTAGAAGCGACATCGAGTGCGGCCGCGACACACTGCTTTGTGCATACAGTCGTCGCACGTAGGCATCAATGGTACCCTGTATTCTTCCGACGAGTAAAATCGAAGGTTTTCACCGTCTCCGTACGCTGACACCACCCTCGATAAACGTTCGCTGAATGAAGTTTCCTAATAACCGAACTTTCTTCTTTGGAGAATCAGTTTCCTCGTCGGGAACGAATTACGTCGAAGAAAATGGAAAAGCTCGATCCAAGTAACGGAATTCCTGTGTTGGGACTTTCTGGAAGGTTTGCAATAGGTGGTGTCAAAAGAAAAAATAGGGGGGGGGGAGTTTGAGCATTTTCTGTTAATTTTTGGAATCTATGTGTTTTGTTGAAATTGAGTTTACAACTAATTTGATGTAAATGAGAAACAGAAGAGTTCAAGAATGTCTGCATTATGAATTGATTAAAAGACAGGTTTATTGTTTCGAGATTACCTCTTTACGGTAATTAGCAACGATTGGAATTAGTCAGAAATATAGTCTTGTAGAACAATCGTCCTGCAGAACTTCTGTTGAATTTTGTTAAACTTTCTGTATACTTACTATAAGTTCTACACTTTTTGTTTGTCCTCTAAATTTCTATATACGTGTGTATTGTACCAAAGGATTCCTAAACCGTTTACAAATAAATATCTCTTTTGGTAACAAACAAAAAGTTTATGGTTGAGGGATTTATTATGTTAACAATCAATATTACAGAGAGAAGCCTTCTAAAACCACCAAAAACTAGTTTCTTGACGGTAATTCTGGAGATTAGAAAAAAAAATCGTAACGCAAGGGTTTAAGACGATGAATGCCGCGGACGAGAGACAGTAGAATTTGGAAAGAAGAAATTCGGAAACTCGCGTACAGAAATGGATTCTTTTCGATAAGGAGCCTACAATGAGGCTGGGCATATAAAGAGGCTGAGTCTACACGGCCGATGGTATTGATTCGAAAGTATCGATCGCTTCAAAAATAAAGGCCAAGATACGTGCATCGGTGGCCTGACACCACTTTGGCCCCCCGTTTACAAGGTGTGCACACCACACACACACATACACAAGCTTATAACTACGAACGGATCGATAGGAACGACGGATCGCTTTCTTTTTTCCAGCCCCCATTTACGCGGCATCGATCTTTTTTTTTAAAACCAGATGCATTAGCCAGCTAATGCCCGCGACTAACGCCGACGGTCACCTGGATACCAATGAAACTACGGCTAAAAATGTCCACCGACGTCGAAACGCATCAATTACTATATTTTACATACTTGAAACAGAATACGTTTTCGTTTTCTCTTGGACCGTATATGAAATTGTAGATTTTCATCGGATGACCGAGAATGTATTTTTCTTTGCGTTTCAAACTTTAATATGTTGAAAGGGGCTGTCTAGAAAGGTTATTTAATTTCAAGTTAAATTGTAACCGAAACCTAACTAACGTCACTATAAATTTAGATTAAGTGAAAGAACATAAGCTGTAAACAGTAAAAAAAGAGGTTTAATTGTTTAGTTTCAAAGCATTATACTGATTATAGTTGGTTAGAGCTAGTTTAATAAAAGAAAAAACAATCGACCATACTTTA